AATGCTTCTGTTTAGCCAAAATGGAATAGTATCTGCCAAAATGCAGAGGGGAAGGCCCTGGAAACCTGGACATTACATTGAGTATCATGAATAAATGGCTGTTCTTAACTGACATGTTTCCACTGACCAGCACACTCAGAAGACTGTGACTAAACCAGTCACCCATAGAAAGTGGATGTATCTAAGAAAAGCAATTGTACCACAATAGCGTCTGAAGTGGTCCTTGCTGCTGTGTACTTCTCTGACTTGAGAACAAAGGCACGCACTTCATTGGTTTTTTTTCTTGCTTTGTGAATGAAAACACAAACCCTGCAAACACAGTTTGTGGTCTCTGAACTGTGCAAAATTTTTTCTTCCTAGTTTGTGTATTTGTCACAACAACAGTATCTATTCAGCAGCTGGCAATTCTGCATAAGCTTAAATCAGCTCCCTTCTTAGCCCCGCTCCTGCAAGCCTACCAAAGCAGGTGATGTAATTTTAGTCAATGAAGCCTGCAGCTCAGGTACTAACACACACAGGTTAGCTTGTCTCAGAAAGGAGAACAGAAAGAGAAGACCTAGAGGTGGCCTAGGATTCTGGACATACAGAGGTACTATCAAGGAAGAAAATACATACTGGGCTTAAATGCAACAGCAGTTTATGAACAAAGCACCTCCAAAGCACTCCCAAGCAACAGAGGAAAAAAATCTTCAAAATCTGTGATAGCTACAGTGGGTTTGTCTGGAAAGCAGAAAGAGACCCAGACAAAAATGAAAGTGGGTGCTGTTGGAAGAGTTAGAGCAATAGGTGATAAAGTACAAGAGCTCCTTCAAACATGATCAGGTGCAATTTGCCACAATATTCTTGTGACAGCAGACATGAAATGTCAGGAAAAGACCTGGCTCACACTCTCTTCTGCTATTGCTGCATGGGGTGGAGGGGACTCCATACGCTTAAGAGAGACCTGAATTCTACTAAATGTATGCTCTGATGAGCACACCCTGCCATAAACCTCCTGCACAGTGATACCTTCAGGGAAGCAGAATCAGCAGCTATTCCATGTAAATCCAAAGGAATAGTATCAAAGAATGGCATTAGATCTCATGAGCACATCAGTATATTGCGTTTCTGTGGCAGCTTTTAAAGCTTTCCCTATAGCGAGCCAGATTATTCATCACAAAACTGAGTTTTAGCAACCTGGCACATGCTTGAGCATACACCTTCCTTGAAACTAGCAGGAAGGGATCTGAGAGCGCAGTTGTCTGGCTCCCCCACCCCACCCCCCACCCCAGAGGAGCAAATCTATTTGTAGAACAAAGATTTGAGGGCCTGCAAGTAGAGTCTTTGCCTATACTTTAGCTTCCCCTTAAGCATCTCTATTTTGCCATTACCTAGTCATCGTGGGTTTTTTTCTCCTCTTTTTGTCGGATTCCTATGCATAAAAGCAGGGGTTATCCAATACTGGCTCATCCTGGAACCCCTCTGCACCTCACTTCTGAACCGTCCCTCATTGGAAGTAGAAGTCAATGTGCTGATATGAAAAAACCTTGCTTTTAAAAGGATAATCACTCACCAATTTGAGCCCGCTTTCCTTTAGATGGAATTCACTGTGGATGGAGGAAGGGACTGCAGCAATACCAGGAGAGTATTCCCAGTATAGTTGATGCAATTCATGCATACACGATTGAAGCCAAAATGCCTTGGGTAGAGAAAGCTCTCTCCTGGGAATTAAGAGCTGGCTGGTGAAGGTCAGCTTTTCAAATGCAAGTGAGATCCAGTTGCATTCATTCATTGCTGACAAAATGGACCCAGGAGATGGATAAACCTAAACAGGATGGGTTAGTAACGTTGAGCAACTGAGTCAGTGACAGTATGCAGAACTTTATGACCGCAGACAAGACACCAGTGGTTCAGATTCAGTTAAAGTACAGCTCAGCCTTACAACATAAACAGACCAAAGCAACAAGGAAGTCTTGGACCTTTGCAGGGAAGTGACACGATAAGAGCCACAGCTTGCTCCTGCAACGTTCTCCACACCCTCCTCATAAGCATGCTATATTTCAGTCCCCGTGATTGTTTACCAGCATCTTAAGTCTAGAGAGAGAAAGAGGGAACAAAGAATATTGAAAAGCAATGAGGAGAACTGTAGGGTGAATGCTTTGGCTCGGGTAATTATTTCCTAAGAGGTGGGCTGGAAATATATACAAATGAGATTGGATGCAAACTGTAACGCACAGTAAAGAACAGTCCTGCAGTAGCAAGAGGATGACAATAAGGTGGGTGACTTAATGTGTCTACTGTCTCCAAGTCTTACTTTGGACTCAGTAAGAGTTTTTCAGTACAGGCAAAATCATAACACAGGAGAGGGCAGATTTCAGCTCTGGTCTTCCAGAGGCCTGCTGCAATTAACAGACACTGAAGGAGAAGTTATTTTAAAGCTTGATAACGGTTATGCCCTAAGCTGGAAAGGAAAACACTTTGGCTGTGCTTCCCACTGTGGGGGCTAGTCTTCAAAGTGAAATGCAAAGTTGGTTGCTGCTATTAGGTGGCAGTAGAACACTTTCAGCCAAAGTTAGAAGGGTGTGATTTTTTTTCCCGGAGATAGGCTTTTCCACGGCTGCAGGAAGGCTAAAAGCTATCCCTCCCCTCTCCCCTGTGGAGAACACTTTGCTGTATGTTTCCAAGTGAAAGCCTTACCTCTGTTTATGCGCAGTGAGGCAGTCCCAAAGAAAACACATCTATGCTGCTCATCAGATCATCCACAGGGGCACAGAGAAGATAGTGGCTGATCTGGCACTACATCAAGAGATATCTGCCAGCAAGATAAAGGGAGATCCTCCTGCTGGGACAGCTAGTGCTGCCTTGAGTGGGACAGCTGCTGGACCAAGTGCAGCTGACAGCACTTGCTCTGCCCCAGTTGCTTGTGAACTAGCTAAACTTCTGCATGAAGAAAGCCCGGGAGACACAGCAGTGAACCCTTCTGATGGGTCTGACAGGGATCCCACAGCCTCCTAGAGAAAGAAGATGAAGCAGGTGAGTTTCCCTTCCCCTCTGTGATTTGAGCTCAGAACATGGTGAGGGAGAGGGAAGCACATTATATTTACTTTTTTCAGGACACTCAGAATGGAAAATCCTCTCTCTCTCTCTTGGGCTGTCCCTCCTGCTGCCTGCCAGCAATGTTGTCCTGGAACCTCTCTGTGCACATCTTGGTGTGGCAGCCCCAGTTCAGCCCCCTTCACTCCCTCCCCAAGTGGCTTTGGACCTCATGAGCTAATTTTCCTCTTCTAATTATTGAGAGGCTTGGAGTGAGAAAGCAGTGTTCGCATTCCTTGTTTGTTTTCCTGGCACAGACCAATAAAGATCTGCACCTGGGCTTTTGATGGTATTTCCTTGCATCAATAACGTTAAATGAAAAAATATTCAGCAGTGGGAAATTTTGAGCTGAGACCATACACAGAATCTTTTCTCAAGCATGTCCCACTGATTTCCTTAGCAGAGTAAAGCAGGGTGTCTTCCTGCTTTAGCGCTGCTATTAATAAAGCGTTGAAGTTGAATGAAAACAGTCAGATCTTGCATCATCTTTTCACGTAATTAGTCCTTGCATAAAGAAGAGGTGCCCTTGACCTCAGCAGAGTGGTTCCTGCCAACCAGGCAGCGTCTGGCACTAATAACTAAGGCTAGGTGATAGCCGAATGACACGGCAGGGCTGCTGTAGCTTGTGCAAAGAACCCATTAGGCAGCGCTTACGGCTGTTCCAGAAAGGTTACTCTTTGGGCTGACCTCTTCTTGCTTTTTATCATCCCAAAGGAGTACGGTTCTGGAAAGAATCTTATTTTTCTTCGAACGGTGTTAGTCACTCTGGCTTTCTGGCTCCAGGGGGGCTACGCAGAAAGGATGCTGGCTTTGCCTTGTTTGCAAGCATGGGGGTGCTCCAGCTCAGGATGTCAGAAACGAGCAGGCTGCAGACAGGCGCAGTGCCTCTGATCAGAGAGCTGTCAGGGAGAGCTCAGCTCTCCAGCGCTCACCTGTCAAAATTCCTGAGGTCTGTGGGTTTAGCATCTGAAAGGTACATTTACACCGATACCAACATCAAACGCACCAGCTTTTGGAGGAGCGGGCACAGCCACACCACTGCACCCAAAATGCTTACTCATTGATGGCTACAACTTATGCAACAAATAGCAGTATTAGCTCTCGGTGCTGACGTGATAATGGGCTGATCTCTGCGTGCTGCCATCATTTCTCTGTAACTGATGGCCTGTTCTTTCTGCTGGGTCTGTAAAGCCCCAGGTATGGTCCAGCTAACTAATCCTGAACATAGCGCTGCTCCTTTGGAACACAAACCAGCAGCTGGTCAAAAATTCAGGCTCATTAGTGCATTCCTAGAAAAATTTTGCATCAGATTTCTGGTTTGTGGATTAGGCTGGAAGGGGGATTGGCAAGGGAGAGAAGGAGAAAAAACATCTGAATAGCCCCGATTCCACTGAGCTGTAAGTAAGAACTGGAGAGAGGGGACTGAGAGCTGCACCAAGAAACCACTGCTGGTCTCTGGATCGCTGAACCAGGGGCAGCAGGTGACTGGTGGGGTCAGGCAGCCTTTAAGTACTGCAAAGTCTGGCAGGAGTCAGATACGGGTGGTGAGTTTTGGTTAGGACTCTGTGAGGATGATCCCGTTAGGCTTTGGGGATTTGGGAAAATTCTCATAGCGTACATAGCTAGTCAGTAAAAGGGAAGGTCGCAAATGCAAACGCATAGAAAGAAACTCCACAGTGTGGGAGGAGAAGCTGTGCAGGGATCCGCTCTTTGGGCACCTTCGACAAATTTAGCCTGGTTGAAAGGGGGGGGGATAATATGAATCACAAGATCCAATGTAATAAGAGAGACATGGAAAACTTGATGCAGCAGAACAGTAGAACAGGAAGACCGATCCAATGAGACATTTACTGTATTTCTGAGATGGTATGTTGAAATAAACATCCTCCATGTGGCTCGTTGTATAATTTGACGTGGTTTTAAAAAGAAAAGAAGTATTCCAACAGGTGTGGGAACGGATTTAGGTTGCACCGCTCAGGGCTTCTGCAGGGATACAGCCCTCTGCATGATGACAAGGGGGCAGGGGACTCCAGATGCTATGCACAGGCTGAGCTATAAATGTCTTAGCTTCTGTAATGATTTAAGGGACACTGTCAGGGTAAAGCCATCTTTTCCACATGACATTGCCTAGCATGTAAACTGAAGGCCACGGCAGGATTCCTGCAGGAAACTGCTCTAGAAACTGCTTTCAATTGTCATGTGTGGGGTTTTGGGGGTTTTTTCAAGCTTTGCAGAATGTGCTTTGAGAAAGAAAACGAGCATAGTGAGAGGGAATTGGAATCATAAATCAACAGCACAAGAATGCAGCATTCCCTCTCCTAGCAGGAGCCAGAACCACCCTGGGGAGGAGCCCGTACCCGAAACAAACACAGCAGATGCCTCCAGGGCTGCACCAATACAGTGGAAACACTGGGGAAATGCTGCTCGTCCCGCTTTTCTTTCAGCAGCTGCCTGCTGGGAGGGAGCCTGGCCGAGCCGCTCGGCGGGCTTCTGCATCCTGGCAGGTGCAGGAGATGGGCTGAACCAAACAAGCCTCTGGGGTCACTGCACTTTGAGAATGGTGGAAAAATTGGTCTCTTTGCAGTAAATGAATGAATGCAAATTGCACAGGTCTTCCCTGCCTGTATGGCTCTTGCAGTGAGCAAGGAGGAAATCCTATTGCAATAACTGCAGTTCAGACCAACAAAAAGGACTTTTGGTAGGACAACTGGAAGCCAACACACCTTTTTCATTGGATGCTTCTTATATCTATGTTTCTGTCAGCATAAAACCACAACAAACCCTTGCTCTCCCATCTCTCCCGCCTCCCTTAAAAGCAACGTGACAGTCACAAAAGCTGCTGCTGTCGGCCTGGCTGTAACGCTGTTAAAAGAGTTCCTGTCACTTTCCGAGCGCTGCCGTTTTCTCTGTTCCTGGTCTCACAAGCGCAGAGATCTGCCTGCTGCTTCGTTGCGCTCAGTTCAGCAACTCTGGTGGGGATAGCCCTACAGGTATGGTCCTCACGTGCCAGCGGCTTTTAGCAAGGTCTAATTGCGCTGATACTAACCTCGCCTCCTCCCAGGCCTGTCTCCCTGCTCCAACCAAAAGCCTCTTCGCGCAGCTCTTCCTGCGCTTTTCTGACCGGTGAGTCAGTATCTGCTCGGCATCCGGAGTCGGGCCTGGGCTTGGAAGAGGAGCTGTTGTTTAATACCCGTGCCCTCCACCCCACCGGAGAGGCAGGACTTGTTTTGAACGTCTGCCAAAACTGCTAACTCCCCGAGATGTTAACGTGTACGCCTAGACGAGTAAATTCAATTTGCCTGGGCCCCCACCTCTCCTCACAGCCACTGCCGGGGGCAGAACTGGCAGGAAGGCATCTCAGCAGACACTGTTTGCACAAGAGAGAAAATCCCAGCAGGCCGATGGGAAGGATGCACGCTGGGACCTGGGGAGGAGGGGCAGCTCTGGCTCTCTGCTCTGATCGTATCGTTCCCTCTTGTTCTTCCTTTTCTCCCACACGCTGCGTCAACCCCACGCACCTCTTCCTCCACCTCCTGTGGCTGCAGTCCCGGCCGCTTCTCTTGGCCTGTTCCCACGTGCCAATGCCCAGTTCTTCACGTAGCACTCAGAAGGGATGTCCCGTTCCCACTTCTTTCCTGGGGTGGTCACCTGTATGCCTTTGTTACTCGGGCCAGAGCCCTCCCCGGCCAACCTGGCTCAGCGCACCATCCCCAACAGACCTGAGAGCTGTGACTGCCCCTGCACTCACCATCATGGCTGGCCGCTAGTCCACGGCTGGTTGGACCTGTTGCACAGCCCGGCCCACCTGAGATTTATCACATCTAGTTCCCCCAACAGGGAGCTTTCGCAGCAACCTGCACTCCTTGCCCGTCCTGGAGCTCCTCAGTCAGTGACGGGCACGGGGATGTTCATCCTCTTCCTCAGGGTAGTGGCTGGAAGCACGCAGTGCTACCTGCAATGCAAATCGCAGTGAGCTAATTGCAGCTGCGCAGCAAGGACCTGATGCTGTTGCTCTTGGTGACAACGTCAGCACCGAGCATGAACAACACCAGTGCTCTGAATACAGATGCAGCAAGAAGCCTGAAATATTTAACCAGTGCTCTTATGTAGACCCTGAACTGAGAGAGCACTCAACCTTCTGCTCTCCTAAATACCCCTCTTGGCCAGCATCTTCTTGCTCACCATTTTACATCACTAGCATTGGAAAGCAGCAGCTCCCACCAGCGTTATGGCGGCTGAAAAGCTGCATTCACTCCTCTCTCATTAAGTTGCTGCAGGATTGATCCTAAGAATGAATCTCGCTTTTATTTATTATTGAGCCAGTAGTAGGCAGCCCTTCCCTTTAAACCCTCTTGTAAACACCACGTTGGTTCCTTACCTGTTATTGAAGCCTTTCTCCACCTGCCCATGTCATTGTTCTGCCTCCAGCCATATGCAAACCATTTTTCATTGCCATGCAGGCCCCAAACTTGTCGTCTCCAGCAGAACCAGCTTCCATTGACCAACCCATTCCTAGGCCTGGTGCCATCAAACAAAAATCTTGAAAGAGGAATGAGGTGTAACTGACATGGTCCAAAGACTCCCTAGCTGGGGAGCCCCCTTCATTTCCCGAGACTGCTAACAAACAACAGCATCTCAAACAACGTGAATTATCTCCTTGAGCAAAAATGCCTTTAAACAAACCAGGTTTTGCCAGAAAGTCACCATCCGCCTCCTGAGCACTCTTGCCTGGCAAAGTGTTTGGTTAGAGGAATGAGCTGCAGAAGGAAAGAGGAGGACACGCCTGCCCTCACACCGCAGCAACACGGGGCCGGGCTGGTGATGGGAGGATAAATGGCTCTTGCTTCCTCTCCACCTCATGCGCCATTCCTACCGCATGCCTGACCCTACCTTGCTCCCTGCAGCCCCGGGCTCCCACTGAC